TTATGCTGAAAAGCCAACATAGAAAATAGCGACTGTGCTAAAGAATACGTTCAATGAATGCCTTGCAGGTTAGTGACAGTTATGCGGTGTTGCTTTTTATGACAACGGACGATGCATTTGCGGTCCGCAGGCCCTTATTAAGACTGTAATCTAATCTTGCTTTTCATGTTCCTGTACAGTTACCGGTTGGCGCTGAGGTCTGTTCCAGATAAGGAAGACAGAAACAAGCGCCTTCTCCTTTATTTTCCTCTAATGACTAGCCAGTTATCCCGGAGACATCTTCCCTCACATTTGGCTGGCTTTCCCTGCCGTTCTTGGCGGCTGTGTCGACGCGTGAAGCTTCCCGCAGACCTTTTCTCACGCATTCCTTCGGCCAACTTTCCCACCTTTCGCCCTAACGTGATCCTGATCTCCGTTCTCCGTAGCTACTAGTGTGCGTGAATCACACTGGAGATGTGTTCCCACGCACTTTCGCGCGGTCTTCGCTGCTTTCGTCCTAATGAAATCATGGTCTTTGGGATATCCGTAGTAACCAGTGCGCGTCGGACAAAAGAGGGGCGAAAACAAAGAGGCCGGCGGGCTGCCACGCACACAAACGCCGACTTTACTGGCATAATTACGGACCTCCGGGTTTATTGCAGGGAAGACATTTTTTTTTTTTTTTATCGTTGTGTCTAGCCCACAGCCTGACCAAAAATTTCATAAAACCTAAAGAGAAGCGCAAAAGGGGAAAAAAGTGATCTGAAAGAAGCTGTACAAATTTCGGTGCCTGGTTCGTCGCGCGGCAATGTCCGAGATATAATCTTTATTTTCATAAAGAACACATCAAATAAAAAAAAGCTTAACGTGCAACTTGCCGTGTTTATCGTTAATGCCGGCAGTGCAAGAGTACAACAGCCATACGCAGAGATTTCGTCAACCATACCGCGGCAAGACAGCGTGTTGAAATCCGTTCCGTTAGTTTCGGATAGCACCGACGCACGCGGCGCGCAGGCCACGTGCTTTTTGAGACAGAGAGGGAGTCGCGCGTTCTGCTTCGCATTCACATGTAAACAAGAGAGGAGAATTTGCCTAGTCAATACGGCCGACTTCCGGCTTCTTCGCGGCTTTAGAACGAGTGACGTCAGGGCCTTCTTACCTTTCCTTCCCCCGTGGTTGCAACTCTCATAGACACTAGCGCCAGAGTTCCCTCTAGTAAGTATTGTGGGAAACTCTATGCCGGCGGCCGACGAACAATATACGAAAAAAAGCGCGGGCAACTTTGGCCGCATCAGCCAATGGGAAGCGAGGAACAGGGGATTCGCCTGGTGCGCGTGCGCTCCGGCCAATCAGCGGCCCGAAAGGAGGCTCCGGAAAAGGGGCGAGAGCAGCCGTTCTGTTTAAGCGACGCCATTTTGAAGGGTGGCAAAATGCGCACGAAGGAATCAGCTTCAAAACCAGCCCAAGATGGCGGCGATCGGCTGACTGCCTCGCTGGCGGCGCGTGTGCGAAGTTTGAACGAATTCGACCTGCCGTGGGTTGTTTTGCAGCTCCCGTGGCGACTTCATAATCAATTTTAATTCATTTACTGATCGAATTCAGCGTTCACAATTAGAGGAAACGTGCTTATTGGTCTAAAAATTTAAAATATCGCATTTTCTCAAAATCGACTTTTTGGCCATTTTTCACCATTCTAAGACCCGCGTCCCCCCTTAACACAAAGTCGTCTGCAGTGGTCTTCTGATGCAATAAAGTTTACCTTCATCCCAGTCTTGGGCACACGGAAGACCCAAAGCGTCTTTCAGCTGTGCATGTGCTCCCGTCACCAGTGGCGAACACAAAAATCGACTCCAAAGTGCCCACCGGCGGCCATGTTACTGCTATTTAGTGCATGATTAATCACTTTCAACTCGGAAAGCAGCCGCGTAGTTTCCATATTGCCTCGCAGCGTAACCACATAACGAACACAATGAGCAATACTCGCCGCAATGGGCACTGGTCACTTTAGCTTGAATTGGATTTGATTGGATTGAGGCTCTGTGCATTGGTAGTACGCTTGATGCTTAACTCTTGTTAACACGCGAAAATGGCTAATTTCCATGTCTCTGAAAATAGCTTTTGTCCGTTTAAAAAAAGTACTTCAGTAACCATTGCAGCATACCAAATTTTGCATAATGAAGAGCTCTCTCCAAAAAAATATTTGCTTTCGGGTAACAAAAGTGTTCTGGCATGAAGAAAAATGTGAAAAGTGTGAAATTTTTGGTTTCCAGCGTGTTAACAGTGTGATGAAAAACATTATAGTATATGAAAAAATATTCAAAACAGAAATTTCAGAGTATACAAATTGAAGATATATAATTCACATACCTGCCAAGTCTCCTGGATTGGCCGGGAGACTCCCGGATTTAGACCGTTTCTTCCATTGTACGGTTGTGATGAAAATCTCCTGGAGGAAACATGGGCGGCGTATAAGCCGGGCGGGGGGGGGGGGGCAAGGGGGACGTTAGCCCCCCCCCCCCCCCACTGAGAAAAGTTGGGGGGCGGAGCCCCCCCTCTTTCTACAGTGATCACTCTTGGCTGCACGCTGAGGAAACCAACAAGTAAGGCACAGTTCTCCATCACAACAGTAATACCTCAATTATGTTTTTTACTGTAAAATGAAATTGTTACGAGGCTATGTTACAAGCTAGTGAAATTTTGCTAATGTTGCCGCTGTGTGTATTGCTGGGACTCCAGGTCCTGTGGGTCTCAGTTTGGTAGCGGGCACCAGTCGTAGGAACCATAATCCAACAAGTCAGATGAGTCGCTCGTAAGAACGACAACAATTTATTTACATGGTTACTAACTGAGAATTTGAAAGGATGTGATCAAGTATGAACTAGAAGTCAAGAACTGTTAAACTGAAAGTATACAAAAGTCTACTGCTTATATAGTGCCGTATTGCTAACCATGGGCACATTGTCCGCGGCTTCAGCCAATACGGAGCTCGAGGGTCTAGGTGCTCCACCCACGAAGGAGGGGAAAGACACATATAGCTTATTTGGCTTTTTTTTTTCTCCTCTCAGCTAGACATGGAGGCTAGTGTGGTAAAATGGAGCAGGATGGCTTTTTACTGATTATCTGTTGCTTATTTGGCAACAGTTATATTAGACTGTGGTTACTTCTGAAACGTGGCACTCAGCTTTTGTGGTTTGATACCAGTATTTTACTAGTATCATACTAGTATTTTAAATTATAAATCAACCTGCCATTGTTTGCTTCATGAAATTTACATTGTTGTCTGTTAAATGTGTTTCATAATAAATATTGATAATTATGAGATGCTTCGACAATGCTCTGGACTACAATTAATGTTAAGGAAGTTTAATGTCTGCTTCTAAAACACCAATAGCTGCTTTTAACTAGCATTTTTTTTTTCTGCTCCGAAAGCATTTATGGCTGCTCCAAAGCAATAGATTTCCTGCTCGAAAGTATGCTTTAAAAAAGTAAAAAGTCACTTCCATCACTGTAATAAAAGTGGAACAAAAAACTCGCAGAATACTGCTTGTGTTTTCATCCAGAAAACTAGGATCTTTTCGTAAAGGGCAAAGACCATAGCATCATTGCTATGACAATTAACTATGGCATAGTCAAGCCACTATGCTGACGGAACGTATGGTCATCTACACAAAAGAAATTTTTAGGCCACTACCAGACTTCGTCAGCAGCTACAGCAATGGCAAGGAAAGGGTTCATCTCCATGATCAAACTGTGTGTAAATACAGAATTTTAATTAATTTCAAAAAGTAGTGGAGGCCTCTATTTACAGAGATGATCATTGCTGCACTCAACGAATAGAGGATCTGATAACATATTGGAGGTTAGCAGTACCACTATGCGTCCACAGCTGCCATTAACTTGTATAACAGCAAGACACGACCTGTGCCTTTTACGCAACGGAACTATAAAGTGGTCGTCGGCACCCATTCTGCTGGCTATTCATACGTATATTTGCTCAAGAAGCTCGAAAGATAGTTGAGGTGTACGGTCTCTCATAATAGAAAGGAATGGTGCGTCGAAAAATGTGGAGTTGAGCCATTCGTATACCGAGCCAGCTTGCGCATTGCTATTGCTAGAGCCCAGCATACTTTCTAAAGGGCATAAAGGAAGTGTAAATTTAATGGCTTGTTTTCTTTGTCAGACACAATAATAATGAGAGCTAACAGACAATGATGCCAAAAAAAAAAAAGCATAGGGAGTTTTTTATTAAAAGTAATTGCAATGTAAATGTGAAGAAATAAAAGTGGACAGAAAGATAACTTGCCACCTGCTGGATTTGTATCTGTGACTTTCGAATTCTGCTACCGTTTTTTCCTTCACATTTACATTACAATTATTTTTGATAACATCCCCTGCATTATTTACTGTTAACCTTTGTTAATATTGTTTCTAAAGTATAGTGTCATAACTTATGAAGAAACAAATGTGACTCTACGAAAATTTGCAGAATGTTCCCTGCTGTCTGTATGAACAGCACAACCTAAAAGTAGTTACAGTGGAAGCGAAAAACAAGGAAGCGAAAACTATGGAAGCTAAAAAACAAGGATAGAAAAGAGCGCTGATAGAAAACAGTGCTCATTTCTATGCTTTTTTTTTCCCCTTACTCTGTAACTACTTCAAGGTTGCGCTGTTCATACATTCAGTTATGTCCTACCAACTTGCCCAAGTTTTCAAGCTTCATCCTTGCTGTAATTTGATAAATATGCAAACTTTTCGCTAAATTCAGACAATAGTTATTGCATAGGCTACAATACGTTAAGCCTAATATTCCTGATTGCCTAATTCAAAAGCCTTTGGCCTGGTTTGTGTTGCTTTGTCATCATTCTTATGCAATGGTTCCACCACCGAGACGCATGTTGAAACAAGAATGTACCCTTGGTGAATGAATGGATTTATATTCTCATTTGTTGCTTACTTTGGTGTTTAAGAATGTGCTTTGGAAACTAATTCTTAATGCTGTGACTATCGCTGTATGTATGCAGGCCTGCAGCAGGCAAGTTGGCAAGCCCACCAAGAAACCCGAAGAGCCGCATTTTGTTTGTGCGCAACCTTGTGCGGCCTTTTACGTTGAATCAGCTGAAACAGTTGCTTCAAGAATTTGGAGATATCGTTGACTCTGAGTTCTGGATTGACAAGATCAAGTCCAAATGTTTTGTAACTGTAAGTGCTGTATCTTTTTTTTTTTTTGCCGGTGTTTCTTAAAACAACTGAAGTTATAGTGTATTATGTGTCTATTTTGCTTTTGTTTTGTTTTTGTTTTTGCAGTATGTATCTGAGGAAGATGCTGTCAAAGCCAGAGAAGCGTTACATAACTTGCGATGGCCACTCTGCAACCCAAAAATACTGCATGTGGATTTCTCATCGCCTGAAGAGGTAGGTTCAATATGTAGTTACATGATTGGCCGGGATTCGATTCTGTGACCTGCGGGTCATCAGCAGAATGCCTTAGTCACTAAACCACCTTGGTAGGTCTTCAGTGGTGAACCGACTGCACCATTTTGCTACAGTTTGGCTTTTGTGCACCTTACTATGCCCATTCAAGAGCATATTGTGCCAACTGCGCCAAAGTTCACTGTTCCATCTATTTAAATGGAAGTGGACTGTTTGACGGTTCGGCATGTTGTATTCAATATGGAAGCTTATTACTCTTAATGAAGAACTGGTAGTAATGCGCAACACGATTGTTTGCCTAGTCATTATAAGCTTATCGTAATGTAACGCATGCCAACCGTGCAGCTGCCATTTAAGGCACCTCTCATTGTGAACAGCTGATTCACACATAATAATAATAGAGTAGTAGTAGCAGTAGTATTAGTAGTAGTAGTAGTAGTAGTAGTAGTAGTAGTAGTAGTAGTAGTAGTAGTATGAGATATCTTCAGTGCCAAAACCACATGGCATCTTCGTTAAATAAAGATGCAGATGTGCAATAGTTTGATATTTTTCAAATAAAAAAAGCTCCATGCTGATTGTGCTATAACACAAAACCTAAGTGTGCGAAAATGCGTCGGGGGCACGAAGTGGTGTCAGTGCCACTCAAGTGCATTGAAAAGCTCGTCTCATGTCTTCATTGCATAAGTGGCGAGACGTGGTCGTGAACTATTGGGCAAAGAAGATGAAGCCAAGCGTACACTCAAGTGCTGTGAGCCACAAATAACGTGTCACGGCATTCATGCATGTGTCCGTTATGGAATGTAGTTAGATGGCAGTATTTCTTTCAAACGCTGGAAAAGGCGAAAAGGCTAGACAAGCTACTCTCAGCCTACAGAACTTCTCAACTGATTCCCGTACATGCAGTTCTTACAGACCAAATGGGCTTAGCATAGTCTCCGTGTGTCCACTAATTGTGCGATGAGGAATCTGAAGGGCTGCTATCGTGTGGTTGAAAGACTAAATGTGCAGATGTGGTTTGCAGGTTTTTCATTAAATCGAGAGTGTAATGTCAAACTATTTTTCTTAGTTGTTAATTTGGGGTCTATAAGGGTGGTCCTTTCCTTCCCCTTTCGCATTTGAGGAATAAATGACTTTTAGACACCTGTCACTAGCAGAAACCACCCACCATGCTGGCCTTGTTAATAGTGGTTCACCACAATGTACATCTGTGCTTCTGTGAAGTCTGCAGGTTATGTTTCGTGTAAACAGCCGGATCGATGGTTGCCCTTTGAGCGTTGATATTGTCTTGTTTGCATTAAAGCAGCATTTCCAGGTTGCATATAAATAAGAATAAGGACGAAAAAGTGGCAGACACAGTTTTGTACTACTTCAGGCGACACTAATCTTTTGTCTGCTCCAAATGTGCTCCAAAACAGTTTTTTTTTCCTCCTGCTTCAAAAATTGCTGCTAATCCCAAATTTGCTGGACCATCGCCTCTAGTTGAACGGGACTCGGGTATGGTACCATCTGCAAACAAGCAAAGGGTCTCCAGAGCATTTTAATAACCTGTTAGCAGCTTAGCATGCTAGTGCCAGGCACAGGAACAATACTAAAAGTGCTCTCCTTTTTTTTATCTAGTGTGAGGCATTGTTCTCCGAGCAACATATTTTTTCTGCATCTTTTCTGACCTCTGTGATCGATGCAAAAGAAGAAATGGCTAGTCGTGTTGCGTGCTGGGTCTTTGTATGATAGTGTTGGAGGACGTGTCGTTTCCAAATTTCATGGACACATTGTAGCAAAAAAAACAATACGATGCATTTGCTAACCCCTGTCAGTGCTGTTCCTCGTGGCCATCAAGATCTGCTTTTGCAATCATACGTGACAGCATGCTTCTTTAGGGCACTGGGTAGGCCCTACACATCCCATGCTTTTTTGGTCATTTTGATATACCGTTTTTTTTGTTTTTTGTTTGACTAAAAGGAATATTCACGTAATACCTTCATCATTTTCTTCCAAATTTTCTGCTTTCTTAACTGAAGCAGGTTTGTTAAAATATGACTCGTATTAGATTTATTGAAATATGACTAGTATTAGAATTTTTGCAAATTTTTTAGCACTATGACCTAAATTTTGAGTTAATGGCATCTATGCAAGTTAGTAATGGAATAACTGTAAAGCGCATAATTCCAATTCTGTTTCAGTACCTGCACACGGTTATGCAGAATACAAGACAACATAATCAACTGGTTATCTTGGAATACATACCTAAGTAATAAAAAACATGATTTTGAGATAATTTTTTAGAAAAAAGGCTGAAAAGTCAACACACTTTATCACAAACACCATTCAGCTAGTTTAGGAATATCTGTCAAAATTTTCATCTAGCCATCAAAAACCTAAAAAATGACGGCCTAACTCAAGGAGTTCCCCGATATACGAGAAAAATGCACTTTAAACGTAAAAATGAAAGCTCATCTGTATGGCAATGATGTTCTTTTTAAAATGATTACTTCTGTTATGAGAGCTTGGGAAGGTATTTTGTGTGTGTGCCTTTGGTGAACTCATGTGAAATGTGATGGCAAGCAATCGGGGGACAAATTCCAGGAGCGCTGGACAATGATGTCTTTTCAGTTTTTTATAGCCACGTTGTGCTCTTTAAAGGCAACTTTAGCCTACTTTGAGTTTAACTGCTACCCTGATTTATTTCATCATGAAAGCAGGGATGTTAGCAGGGACATCATGAAAGAAGGGACGATTTATTTCATCATGAAGCAGGGACATACACACACACACACACATCTTCTGAAAGGTGTGTGTGTGTGTGTGTGTGTGTGTGTGTGTGTGTGTGTGGTGTGTGTGTGTGTGTGTGCATGCACGCGCGTGGTTTCGAAAAAAAAAAAAAAACTTGCATTTTCAACTCTCATTTCCCCCTAAAGAATCCCAGACGGTCAGAATCTGAAATCCCCCCCGCTATGTCACGACTCATAACTAGGCTTGCGTAAATATTTCAGCATTTCGAATATTTGAATGAATATTAACATACATAAATTTGCTTCAATTCAAATGTTAATTATTTGAAATTTCGAAGTGTTTGAAGTATACACAAATCCGCTGTAACTTCCCTGTAAAAGGTGGCTTCACTGTAGAGAAGGTGTGCTGTTTCGTGAACATGCCTGTCCAGGAAAAATCTGCAGTGCCGTGAAGCCTTATCTAAAAATTGAATGAGCATATTACCCTCATATCGATTCTTCCGTTTTAAGTTTAAAAGCTTGTTATGCCGGCTTATTTTTTTTCTAAGTAGAGTGCATTTTATAATGCAGCATATTATAGAGGTAATCGCTTGCATACCGAAAGTCAAGTCCTGCTACAATTTAGTTGTTTTCACCTTTTTTGAACCAAGAAGAATGGCATTTGCACATGCCTTGCCTCATTTTTTTTTTTCTAAATATTGTACAGGTATGTTGGGGAATGACAAATATGCTCTTTTTTTATATGATATATACTATTTAAGTACAATTTAAAATTATTCAAATCAAGTCAATGTTTGCTTCTAACCTAAATAAGGCCTACCCATAACTACATAGTTTTTGCACTAGAATTTTTTCCTTGGCAGGTATTCGCTACTACGTGTTGTCAGTATGGTTGGGAGGCCCCATTTCAGTCTTTGACTTCAGGACCTTCTAGTATTGTGTCCACCTGTCTTAGCTTGAAAGAATGACCACCAGTGTGAGTGTCTGATCTTTAGGGTTTTATAGAGCCTGGCCAGATGGTGCCATTTAATTTGAATTGTCTGATATTTTGAATTTTAATAAGCTGTGAATTAACAAGCTTTGACAGTGCAAAAATTTAAATCTTCAGATGTTGGCTTTAAGCAAGCATTGGTATTCTACGTGACCATGTAACATGGATTGTGGTTTTTTGTGCTCATGTAGATGGAACGTCAGAAGGAGCCTCCTGCACCACCACCACCTAGGCCAATAAATGCTACAGAGAGGACTTTGCCAGCGTTTCAGCGAACTGTAGAAGTGGACCCCCGTATGCCAACTGGACGTGAAGTCTTGCGGGACCCACGGGAGGTTTTGCGAGACCCAAGGGAGCCCCGGGAAATCAATGACCCCCGGGAACCTAAGGATCCTCGTGAGGCTCGGGACACTGTCACAGGCTCTTCAGCACGCCCAGATAGAAATCAGATGGTTGAAAGACAGGCAGTAAATAGGCGGCCTGCTTTGCCAATACGGGAATGGGACCGGGACAAACTTCGTCAAGAGACACCACCTCCACCAACTGCTGAGCAGGCACCGGCCCCATCACGCAACAAGGCCACTTCTCCAACAGACAAGCGAGAGCGTCGAGACAAGAAAGGTAGATGTGCTTGCTGTGTTTTCGGCTGACATTGTATGTGTCTGGATATTCTGCTCTAAGAAGTGTGTAAGAAGTTTCATGAAACCTGGGGCCTTGCGCTTTCAAAGCAACTACACGTCTGTTTGCTGGTTGTTGCACAATGCATAGACAAATGTGGATGCCATGTATCAGCGACTTTGTTATATTGTGATGGAGTAGCGCTGTATGCAGTCAGCCCTCATACATTTTTAGGGAATCATTCAGTTGACAAAACTGATACTAAGAAAAAAAATGCAGCACTATTTGCTGGTATGTTGAGCTAACAAAACTTGCTTGAAGAGATTTGATACTAAATCTATGCATGCATGAATAGAACAAGCATATAATTTATGAAAGTTCAACATATTTTCCGATTTTATCTCGTCTATTATTTTTGCTAATTGATTTCTGCAGATATTTCTGTATACCTTTGAAATGTAGACTTCTAACTGTTAAATGTTTTGTTGTTTCCCAGTGGCAAAGCGCAAATCGGAAGAAGATACACCAGCCAAATTGCTGGATGATTTGTTCCGCAAGACAAAGGCGAGTCCTTGTATCTACTGGCTGCCTCTTACTGAGGAACAGGTAAGTAATAACGCAATTGTTATCTGTCTCTAGTGCTTAATTTCTTTTCTACTGAATTGAAGATGTATCACTTTGAATACACTGTAATGTAATAAACACTATCATCTAAATTTGTTTTTTATATTTATTTTATGTCCACAGAGAATATTATGAAGTTTCAGAGCCATTGAAAGAACCTGAGCGTCCTGTCTAAAAAAAATTTCTGTATTCCTTTCAGCTTCAGGTGTAGTACAAGCACCTTAAAATATTGATGCCATTTCTTATTCACAACAGGTTAACTATGATGTTTCACTTTATTGAATGATTGCAACATCTCTTTGTAAATAATACAAAAGTGTATTTACATCATCTATCCACAAAAGAATAAATAGCATTAGAAATACCTTGAAACCTTGATGAAAAGAATTTTGTTAGGGTCATGAAGTGAAGAGGATGTGAATCGTTCGTAGTTCGAATCATTAAAAAATAAGGTATTTTTATTTCTCGATCATTTTTATGAAACTTGGTGCTACATCAAGATTAGCATTTAGTGCCAGGACATTATCTTTCCCCCTAATTGGTTGTGTGTAGCTATTTAAATCCTATATTTTACTTTTCATATTCAGATAGCACGTAAAGAAGAGGAGCGAAAGCAGCGGCGACAGGAGAGGGAACGCAGGCGACAGCAGCAGCAACTACAAGAAGAGGAAGAGCGCCGTAAGCGAGCTCTTGCACGTGATGTGGCTGCGAAGACAAAACAGGCAAGATGTGTTTGTGCATTGTTGTCCCTTTGTTCACCAAATTAGGGGAGACGCTCCTCGAAAAAGCTTTTTTTATTATTTCTAGTAATAAAGACTTGAAAAGTTTGTTATTAGTATAGTTTTTCATGCAGATTTCAAATATGCAATCATTTTTTGTGTAGCTGCTGTAATTATTGAGTTATGCCATAAACAATAGCAAAAAGTTACATTTTTTGCGGACACTCTTTTATGTACTAAACTTTCAGTAAAAGCACTGTGTCTGATCTTATTTGACTCTTGGTAGATTGAAAAGTGCAAATATCTATATAGATATGTCACAGAAATATTGGAACCAAGAAAAAAAAAAAATTGTATTGAATGACTTATTATTTTCAATCTCCCTTGAAACAATAAGCTAATATTTTCACAACTAATGCTGGTAGGCATTGCAATTTAGAGTAGATATTTGCATTCTGCATGTGTTGAAGAATATGTGTGCCAAGTTTCGTTACTATACAATGAATATAAGTTTCTAAAAGGCTGCCCGGAAAACGTGAAACTGTCAGAAAAAATGAAAATGAGAAAAACAAGTTTGAAAGTTCGCAAAGTTGGCATTTATTAGGAAATCATTCTTTTTGCATCAAATTGGGGCACAATGAAAAGTACCTTGCCTTAAATGCACTGCAAGTGTCTAGAAGTCCCCTGCACCATAGCTTGGTCTTTCACGGCTCTTGCGGTCAGTGTCCTCAACACAAGCTCTCTTCGCTGTGTTGCGACGGTATGCCCTCGCTTCTGCAGTTTGCTTCAGGTTCATCTTCCTGATGCGCATGACGTTACAGTGGTCACCATGTGTGGCCAGATCTTGTGAGGGGAGAATTCCAATGCCTTCGAGCACTTCTTCAAAGCCCCTGTGGCCTTTGTTGTACCAGAGTACAGCAAGAGCGGTGGCTGTCTCCACAGTTGTTCTGGAGGCGAACTTTGTTTTTGGACATAGCAGCCATATCTTGCTGTTCAGCGATTCGGCTGCATTCTGTGTCTTGCCATGAAGGCACCGAATAAGGAGTTTCTCCTCTGTAAGGCGCTTGTAGATAGGCATAATTGCCAATCCTTGAGCCTTCGTCAACAGTGGGGTGTGGCGTGGTGCAGGCTCCCCCAGTGCTTCCGCACGCTTGTGCTTGCACCACGAATTTGGTCCCGCGGGGCAAAAGTTGTGGCTACTGGCACCATCACTAGAGCAGCAATGAAAATACGATGCCCATATGGCAGTGTACATATTTCGGACACTGTCCTTGTTGCTCATGATGGTGATCTTGTAATATGTTTGTATTTTTATTATTGTCGCATCTTTCAGTTTTTCGCCTCGTGGCAGTGGCGTTGCCAATTTCCGTAGGGCAGTTCCCAAGCGCTTTGCAACGTGGTTCGTGCACTCTTCTTTGTCAATGGGGGTGTCACAGTATACATTTGCGTCGCAGACTGCAGTGTAGGCCTTGCTGTCACCATCACTTAGGAAGCTGGTGAATCGCAGTGGAGTTTCATAAGACAAGGTCCTCTGCCATATATTGACAGCTGCCGCAGGTTCCATTGCATGGGATGAGCAGTCAGTGTTTTTTTGGCAAACTGGAAGATGAAAAGCTCGCCATATCTCTTCATCCTCCCCAAGGTCCCTGTGTATACTGCAAGCATGGCAGTAGTTCAAAAGAACTTCAAAATCGAGGCAGAGCCCCGTGTCCAGGGACACGACTGTGCCCACTCCATTGTGGCTTTTATGACCTCTTTTCTGCCAGGTGCCATCAAACATGACTGGCACATCTCTGCCGCCGACTGCGTCCTTCGTGATGTTTCGTGCCTGGTGCAAGTTTTTGCTCACTGCCGTCATCGCCGCACCATGGAGCTTCTTGCAAATGCCGTTGAATGTCTTGTGATGCATCGGGCTCGGAAGACCGAGAATCGCACAAAATCGTGGAAGTTGGTCGTGGCCTGCGCCTATAGCGCTTGCTGCCAGAACTGCCTTCACGTTTACAGCAAAGCTGTCACGCGAGCTGCCGCTGTCAAAACGAGCGCTCGTTCCTTGGTCCCCGGCCGAAGCAGTACGTCTCGACGTGTGCGTGAACGAAAGTGCAGATTCAGGGCAATCAGAATTTTGACAGCACAGTTCGAGGAATGCCGAAAGTCCTTTGCGCTTTCCAGCTGCCTCTCGCACGCCGAGCTTCCGTTCGCGGCAGGTTGGGCATTGCGCACCCGCCACAAGTGCGGTCAGCGCATCGATTTCGCAAAGCAGCATGTTCGCAGTAGCAGCATCTACCGGTCTACGTTCACTCTCGAAGAATCCAATCTTCCTTTGGGATGCACTGACGAATTCCACGGCAGCGGCTATTTCACAACCACTGTCGCAGGGTTCGGTGACGGTGTTAGGTCTATCCGAAGTCGGAGCGTCGGGCCGTTGGTCGGGGGCGACATCGTCGTTCGCTGTCGCTTTGCGAAGCGTCCGACGCCGTTTCCCTCGATACTTGTGGCGAGTTCTGAACTTTCGATTATCTGAACTGCACTTCTTCGGGCTTGCCATGACGCAAAAATGCAGAGAAACGCAGAAAAACTCGATCGCGACGTCCGAGGCTTCGCTCTTTTGCCGGAGAGATAGGAGGGGGCGGAGCGTGGAGCGCACCGCCGTCCAATGGCGGCCTCGCGCTGTGTGCCGCGATATTCAAAACGCGTGACGTACGCGTTGTTTTTCTCGTTTTTTGTTTATTCTGCGTGAAGGCACGAGACTGGCTACTAGTGGATTATGAAGGATACGGCCTTCGCAGCATGCGTGCACGATTGCAAATGGCGGCCAACGCGTCGTTTTCGCGACAGGACGACGCGAACTTCGCCGTTTTTCGCCACTTTCGCGCATTTCTCGCGTCACCGCTGCCTACTTGGAAGCATTTTTTGATAATTTCTCGTGCGAATTTCAGCTCGATATTTTCAGAAGTAATAGATTATAGTCCAAGGATGCCAATACAGCCGGAAAAAAAACAGCGAAAATTTTCCGGAAAACCGCGACTTTTCGACCCGCGTCTCCCCTTAAGGTTAAAAATCGAGTGGGCATTACTATTAAACCTTTCACAAGTAGATTGAAGCAACAAATAAAAAATATAATTCAGTGATTTTAGACTTACTGAAAGGTCACTAGAGCAGGGAAGTCGAGAATTTCGTCAAGCTGTAAAAACACTTTGCGACTATGTTTTCTCTAAATTGTTTAACCACAACAGTGGAATCTGCTTGTGATCTCGAGGGGTGCCCGAAAGCATGCACTCAGGTGGAATGGGGAATGAAGGAACAGTTAGAGTGAAGAAAAAAAAGTAGGCTAAAAAGAGGTGGAGGGGGCGGGGGGGGGAGGGGTGTTTGCAGAAAGCTACTATGACTTTCGCTGCTGTGTGCTTATCAGCTGTGATGTCTCTACACTTGCACTGCTGGTGAACTCCACCCCACCCCTCCAGGTGCACAGATAAAATGGGGGGGGGGGGGGGACATACCGTGCACAGATAGAAAAGCAATAGACACGCAGCTATGGGCGAAGGGACGGAAGAGAGCCAATGGGTAAGGATGCGCCAGGTGTCCGTAAGCGGACTGCAGCCGATGTATGTAGGGGATGCGTTTCTTACAGATATAAAGAAAAGCAGTAGGCATGCAGCAACAGGTGAGGGGCGGGAGTGAGCCGAGGTGGTTGACGGGGGGGGAGGGGGGGGGTAACAAAGTATTCAAGAACGGAAGAGATCCAACGGGTGAGGAAGCGCTAGGTGTCACTTAGCTGCGATTAAGGGGGGGCGCGGCAAGTAAAGTGCCGATTTTGGTATAAATATGCGATTTTCTGATTTATTTTTTTTCGTAATCTTCAGACCTTCAACTTCCTTGTTCTAAAATATTACAGCGAAACGTGCGCTACAAATCCCGCAAATAGTGTTTTTGCCGAGGCTAGTCGCCGAAAAGTGCGAAAAAAAAGCCCCTGAAACGGTGTTGTTCACGCCGCACAAACGCGCCAAGTTGTTGACCGTGGGCCGCCATTTTGGTAGCTTTGGAAAGAGGAGAAAGCCGGCTTCCTGATGGTCGCGGTCTCGTATTTCGCCGAGTGAAAATAAAAGCGCGAGGAGCAAGTAAAAAAACGAAAACGAAGAACGGCAATTGGCTGCGCGGGTCACGTGGTAGCAGGCGCGACCTCTTACTGGTCAAAGCTGCGCCGCGCACCTTGGCAACCTTGGAAGCGCGAGCGCATCTGCGGCCGCCGTGTCGAGAATCATCCGGCGTGCGCTTCGTTTTTTGCCAGTTTGCTGTTTTTGTGATAGTTCGCGTGCTTTTTTTTACCAAGCTTTGTTTACATCGGTGGTCTCTTCTGAGTGCTTGCTCATACTGCGGTGCTATGTTGCCGCAAAAAAAGTTCCGGAGCGTCCACAAGTACGGCAAGCGTCGGAAAGCTTGGAACAAAGGGCAGACGACTGCGGCTGCCGTCCCAGTCGCAGTTCCGGACGGAGCATGCTCTTCAAGCGTCACGGAGCCTCTACTCAGACCCTTCGCTGATTGTTGTGAGGCCGAGAGTGTGGAAGGTGCCACATCGTCGTATGTCAGACCGCCGGATGCCGTCGACCGTGATGGACGCTCTCGCAAACCCGCTTGCGGTGGCACCGCGTCGGCAGCCGTTGCAACTCCGGGCGTGCGCGCGTCGAACATTCTATCGCGAGTTTCGGCCCAGATTCCGAGCAGTGAAGAAATCGCGCAGCGGGCGCAGACAAGGCGGGATGTTTTGGATGCCGTAGCATCGAAGTCCGCTTCAAAGCGGAAGCTCGAGCTTCTGAACGAAGGCTGCGACGAAAATGACGGCGGTAAGGACTCCACATTCTTCATTGTAAATAAGAAGATGCTGAACGGTCTGCTTTCGTCAGTAAAGTGCAACAAGTGCGACGAAGGGTCGATACGCCTCGAGACTACGCACTGCCTTGGACTCGCAGCGAGGATGGAACTTTTTTGTGACAATTGTGGCAGAGTGA